AAAGGGGGGCTGGGGGTGGGGTGGGGTAAGGAATATGAAATAAGCTTGGGAAAGGAAGGGAAAACCAGACTGTGAAGGACCTTCAGTGCCAAACGGGAGAGTGCTTTTTATCCTAAAGGCCATAGGGAGCCATTGAAGTCTCTCGAGCAGCCAAGGGATGTATGCTTTAAGAAGATGTGCAGTCACCTTCCAAATACTGGGTAAGAGGAACGTGGCTTTCTCCTGCTAGTGGCTTCAATCTCTCCCTAGCTGCATCAGCTGGGATGGGGCTGGCAGGAGCAGGTTGGATCGCATCTGGCCAAAGACACAGGCCTTTCTATTTGTGAAAATTTCATTTCATTTTTATGGCTACCTTTCGTTTTTACGTCCCATTCAGTTATGAAAACGTCCTTTCCCCTCAGCATGCCCTGCCTCGTCACAAAGATTCTTCTAAAAAGAGAGGGGGGGTGGAACAGCCCAGCCCCCGACTCCGTCTGTAAGTGTGTGCAGTATTCCACTCTTGTGGTCTCCCAGTGATGCTGCCAAGGGAGGGAGGTGCATTTTGTCAGCCCTTCCTGGGGCCCCTGGGATGCCGTTCCCCGATGCCCAAACTTGCTGGTTTGTCATCGTTTTTAGCAGGAAGCCTTTTCTAGTGATGCTACAGGACCACAAAGAGGGGGATGCCTTTGTCTCCAAGGAATCAGAGATTCAGGGAACCCAAAAGCCAAGGGAAAGGATGGGTGGGGGTGGGGGCGTGGATAGGCTGGAGCCCATTCCCCAGGGTGACTTGGGCACAAGAGCAGCCTGAGAGGCATCACTATGGACGCAGATGACCCAAAGGGAGGTGGGCCAGCCTGAGGTCAGAGCGGGCATGCCTGGCAGGCAGGCCAACTGGGGAGGTGGTCTTCGGAGGGATTGTGGAAAGACCAGAGGACCCCAGAGCAGAGCTGGAAGGGACCTTGGAGGGTGTCCTCACGAGCAAACTGAGGTCTGGGGAGGTTAATGGGATCCCCGATTCAGTCTGGACAGAGCCTTAGAGGCCACCCCCCCCATGCCAGTGATCCCCCAGGCTCACTCAGCTTCAGACCCAGCCCACTTCCCACGTAGAGGGGAGAGGGCAGCAGAGAGAGACTGGGGGGACTTCTCTGGGCCACGAGGTTGGCTGCAGAGCAACTCTAACCCTGAGCTCTGCTTTCAAGCCACGGCCCCAGCCAGAGGCTCTCAGGTTCCTGGAGCGAATCTGGCCCTAACCAGACACCGAAATAAATCCCCGGGTGCTCATCACCTTTCTGTGTCACCCCAGTGTATTCGGGGGACAGGAGCAAGAGGGAGCACAGATGTGTCTGTGTTCTGGGGGGGCGGCTTCAGGGTGAAGGAAGAGAGGGCAGAATGTACTCCCCTCCCCCCACCCTCTGAGTGAGATGGAGACTGGGTCAGTGGACCAGGAAAAACCAAGCCCTCCCTGGGAGGTTGGCCTACTCCCTGAGTCATCAAGTCTATGCCACTTTTTTTACAGATGAGGAAACTGAGGCACATACAGGTGAAGTGACTTTCCCTGGGGTAGTAAATATGATTGGAACTCAGGGCTTTCTGAGCCCAAGTATAGCTCTCTATCCATGACACCATGTTGGCTATCCCTGACTATACCTTCTGAAATGACCTTCAAGGCCTAATCCTCCAGAACCCTTTTGTGATGTGTGCATCATGGAGCACAAGAATCTCTGAAGAATTGAGGGTGAGGGTCCCTCTCCCCTGCCTCAAGAGGTCGGTGAGGCTCCAGGGGAGCGTGAGCAGGCCAATCACAGCACAGACCCCATCCCCACCCCCGAGGCCTACATGACCACTTGGTGGGTGTGTTGGGACGGGGATGTTTTCTCAAGGACGGGTGACACTGAGTGGCCACTGAAATACCTCTCAACTCTGAAATCCTGTGCAAGGAGAGAGTCTGCTTCCACTGGATTCTTAACCAGAGGCTCTCAAAATCCTGGCTCCAGCCAATTCCCCGTAGACTAACAAAGGCCTTGCTGGAGTTTTGGTACACTACCACCACTCTGACCAACCCCTCCCACTGCCCAATCAAAGGTTTTCAGCGACTCTCTCCGGGCCTCACTTTCCTCATCTGTAAAATGAAGAGGTTGGATGGGATGACTTCTGAGGCTCCCCCCAGCTTTCCGTCTGTGATGCTCTGACCCTGGGGCAGGTAGGAGTGGGACGAGATGGCCTCCACGACTAGGGCTGTCATTTCCCTCGATCCCATGGTCGTTCTAAGAGCTCAAAACCAACCATGCAACCACTGGCTCCAGAGTTTTAGTGGGAACCTTCTTCCCCCAAAGCGAGGGGGGAAATTGCCGATCTCCAGGACTAGAGCACGCACTGATCATCCACAATGCCATGACAAATGGGGCATTTAGTGGCTGCCGTTTTTAATGTTTGCTATGTGGAGATGCTCTTCCAGGCCTGGGTGACTCGACCTTTTGTGAGGGCAGAGACGTACTCCCTCACCATCTCACTCATCTGGGGATTTGGGACTCTGTTATCCATATTCCCTCCATCCTTTTACAGCTGAAGAGATAGATCTCAGTTGGAGAGAAGCGAGCTGTCCAAAAAATGGGAGGGGTGGAAATAAGGTGGACTGGACAGAACATGGGGGATTCCAGGGATTGGGGCTGAGAAGGAAGACCTGAGAACCAAAAGGGAAAGAAGGAAGGAAGCCCCAGAAGGGATCGTGTAGGGCCTTAGACCTCTGCTCTCACCCAGGTGGGCATGTCTGACCTACATGAATACATCTATGTTTCATAGGTCTTCACAGGTGTGCAGATCAAAAGGTGTGCACCAACCTGGCTTTAGAAGATGACTCTGTGTGTGTGAGGTATTAGGGGGCCAGGGTTGGGGATTCAAATGAGATCCAAAACAGGCCAAGGTCAAACTCATGGCTCAGAAAAGCAAGTGGCCCAGAGGGGCCCTGCCAGTGAGAAACCTGAGGGATATGTGCACAGAGCAAGGTCAAGGTCAGAGAAACACAACAGATGCAGTGAGAATGAAGTGTCAGCCACTGCCAGGGAGTCTCACGCAGGGAACCAGCCGGAGACAGTGTCCTTTTTTCATGGCTATGTGCTCACCAGGCCCCCTCCTAGCTAAGCTGCTGCCATGTGGCTGACAGCCCAGACACCATCCCTCCCTGCTGGAATGTCTGCCTGAGCCTGGAGGCCGTGGCTTGGTGGGGCACCGTTGGCAGAAGCCTCGGCTATCCAGAGGCATGCATGTGGCACGGAGGTTCCTGAGAGCACTCCCAGGTCAACTAGAATGTTGAGCCCAGGATCTCTCAGACGTCCTTCCTCCTGATAAGATCACAGGGTGAGCCCTGGAAGCGACCCGGTCTGGCATCAGTCAGTCCCATCATTTTATGGTGGAGAGAACTGAGGATTTGCACAAGGCTGCACAGTCAGTATGCACACTGAGATCTTATTCCAAATCCACTGTGCCACGCCTGCCTGCTGGTCAGCTCTCTCTGAACAATTTCCAACACATCAGTGGCTCGTTTAAAACATGGTGCTGGTGCAGCATACAGAACACCAGGCCTGGAAGACCTGGGTTCAAAGCTGGCCTCAGATGCTTACTAGCTGTGTGACCCTGAGCAAGTCACTCAACCCTGTTTGCCTCAGTTTCCTCATCTGTAAAATGAGCTGGAGAAGATAATGGCAACCCACTCCAGTATCTTTGTCAAGAAAACCCCAAATGAGGTCAGTCGGACACGACTGAAGAGATTGAACTGTAAGCTTAGTCTCCAGTTAGTTTCCGATTACTGCAGAGCACGGTGGGAAAATCACCCCAGAGGCGATTAGCTTTTCCCTTAGCAGCCATCTCTTTTTAGCTTGTGATCAGTCTCTCGTTAGGCTCTTTCACGTGGGCTCCTCTTATCCATCAGCCACGGTTATTTAGCTCTCCCTATTCACAGAGGTCATAATGGGTACGTAGAAAACCCCAGCGAATCAACAAAGAAACCAACTGAATAATTAATAGCTTTAGTAAAAGAGCAGAGTACAAAATAAACCGTTTGCACCCCAGTGTGGGCACCTTCTCCCCCTTTCCAGGTTTTTTTTCTTGTCGTCTTCCTCTAGGAGAACGTAAGCTCCTTGAAGTCAGGGTTGTCTTCCATCTTGCTTGAAGTTGACCCTCCAATGCCTAGCAAGTTGCCTGGCACAGGGTAAGTCTCATCCACACTAGATGCCTCCCTGCTGCCTCGCCCTAAGTCTCATAGCTCGTGTCTGTGGTAGGATTCTAACTCAGTCCTGAGCTCCATCCACCGAGCCGCCTCAATCACTTCTGAGTGCGGGATAGCATGGCCTCCACTTTACCTACTCACTTCCCAAGAATCTGGAGGACTGCCATCTCCTACTTGAACAGGCACATCTCCAACTTGGCAAGCAGCCGGCATTGGCATGGGCACTGGAGATGGGCCCAGATGAATTTGGCACATTGGGCAGGGTCCTAGGAGAAAAGTCAATGGTCAACATCAATCCCACCCTCATGAAGTAGTGAGTCTCAAGAAACGCCGGGGGCACTCCGTAAATGACTGGCCTAAACTGGTGTCATGAGTCATGGATGGTAGGTCATTCCCTTCTTGTTCTTGCTATAGGCAAAGCCACTTGTATCTCCCCACCCCACCCCCACCCCTTCAGTCCAGTTAGTCTCAGCTCAGCTCCTACATGAAGCCTTTCCAGGTCTCCCCAGATTCCAGAGCCTTCTCCATCACCTTGTGTCTGTTTTGTATCTATTTTGGCAGCCAGTGAATGAGGGGGGTTAGGCTTGGAGTCAGGAAGACCCGATTTGTAATCCTGCCTTAGACACTTACTTCTTGTGTGACCTTAGGCAACTCACTTTACTTCTGTATGTCTCAGTTTCCTCATCTTTAAAATAAGGATAACAGTAGCATCTACCTTAGAGGGTTGTGAGAATCAAATGAGATTACACATGAAGTACTTTGCAAACCTTAAAATCCTATAGATTTTAAAACACTTATTATTATTATTATCTATTTTTATATATCTCTATGGGCCCAAGTTATCTCTTCTGGGCTCCTTGAGGGCAGGGACTGTCTATGCCCAGTGCACCAGGCAATTAATGAATGCTTGTGGATTAACTGGAAGGCTGAGGAGCCGTCCAAACAATGCAGCCAGAGGCTGACCCCTGTTAATGTCTGAGTGGCCTGGGACATGATGGGGGCAAAGTCCCTTTGGAGAGGTCTGGGGAGGAGGTCCTTGAACAGCTTGATTTGTACCACATAACCGGCATCCAGGGTGCCAGGAGTGGGACCTGCCGTCCTGTTGGTGAAGGTGGCGGACTCCTGCTTGGAGAGCATCATGGCCTCTCCCTCCACGGCCTTGTCCAGCCACGGCTAGAAGAGCGGGCGGAGCCCTGGGTCTGCTGCTCAACACCCCCTAGCTGGGTGATGCACAGGGTGGCCAGTGACTGAGAGACAAGAGGGAGATGGTTTTTTTGGGCCCTTGAGACCCTTCTTGGGTATCTGTAAGGGAGTGGAGCTATTTGCACAAGCAAAGGGTCTTCACCTCCCCGTTGTCGGGCTTCCTTCACGTCTCACCCCAAATCCCATCTTCTACAAGAAGCGCCTCCTGGTCCTCCCTCATGTCGCTGCCTTCCTTCTGTGTTCTCTCCAGCTCATCCCGGCTGCAGTTGGTATTGAGCTTTGCACGCTGTCTCCCCCATTAGACTGGGAGCTCCCTGAGGGCAGGAGCTCTGCCTTCTTTGCATCCTCATCACTTGGACGAGTGCCTGGTAGACAGCAGGTGATTAATAAGTGCTGGCTGATAGCTCTGTAACAGAATCTGAGTTGGAAGGAGACAAACCCTCATTTTCACAGATGAGGAAACTGACACTCAGAGAGAAGAAATCACTTGCCCAGAGTCAAACAGTAAGTTGAATAGCCAGGATTTGAACTCAGGTCTTCTGGTTGTGGGATCATAGCCCTAGAGTTGGGGGGTGGGGGGACACCTCAGATGCCATCTTATCCAACCCTCTCTTTTTACAGCTGAGGAAGGTAAGGCCCAGGGGGCTGAGTGACTTGGCAAAGTCATACGGGTAGTAGGAAGGAAGGGGAGGGGAGGGAATGGGCATTTATAGAGTGCTTACCACGTGCCAGGCACTGGGCTAAGCACTTTCAACAAGTTTTATCTCGGTAGAGTGAGCCCGGCATCCTCTCCACTGCCTCCTCAATCACTCTATAAGCATTTATTAAGCACCAATGGTGAACCTGGGCACAGGGATTACAAAGACAAAAATAAAAGCCCCCTTGCCCCTAAGCACAAAGGCTGAGGACACTCTATCAGGGGACACAACACCGAGATATTATCTACAACACAAGAAACTCCCATTCCATCTATCTTCTACACTTTTATGTGTGTGCATACATAACTGTACATATGTATACATAGATAAGCACATACTGTATACACAATAAATCCAAGGTCACTGGAGAGGGAGAGGGAGAGGGAAGGCAGTGGCAGACGGCAGTGAGGGAGAGCAGTCAGGAAAGGCCTCCATAGGAGCCTGAGCTGAATCTGAAGGCAACGAGGGATTCTGAGAGACTGAGGTGAGAACGGAGAGCATTTCAGGCATGGGGCACAGCCAAGGCAAAGGCATGAAGGTGGGAGATGGGGTGTCGTGTGAGAGGCACAGCGAGAAGGCCAGTTTGGCTGGGCTAGAGAGTGTGCGCTCTTCCACGTGGCAGCCTTCCAGTGTGTGAAGATCGCTTTTAAATTCTTCCCCCTCACAGTCTTTTCTTTAGGCCAAACATCCCTGACCATATACATACATACATATATACATACATACATACATACATACATATATACATACATACATACATACATACATACATACATACATACACACATATATATACACACACATATACACACACATATATACACACACATATATATACACATACACACACATATATACACACATATGTATATACACACACATATATACACACACATATACAGACACATATATACACACATACATATATACACATACACACATTATATATATACACACACATACACACATATCTACACACATGCATATACACACACATTCACACACATATATACACATACACACACATATATACACACATATGTATATATACACACATATACACACACATATACACACATATGTATATACACACACATATATACACACACATATACAGACACATATATACACACATACATATATACACATACACACATTATATATACACACACACATACACACATATACATACACATATATCTACACACATGCATATACACACACATACACACACATATATACACATACACACACATATATACACACACATACACACACACACACACACACACACACACACATATATATATACATATATACCCCTCTCCTTTCCTCTACCCAGGGAGCCATCCCTAGTAACATAGTATAAAAGAGAGGAGAAAATCGTTTCAGCAAAACGACCCAACATATCAACTGAGTCCAACACCACATGTAGTGTTCTATACCCATAATCCCTCGCCTCTGCAAAAGAAAGACGGAGGTGAATTTCCTCATCTCTTTTCTCGTAGCCAACAGTATGATGACGATGGTATCCGGGATGAACAAGGGAGAAAGACAGGAAGGCACCTGCCCTCTCTCCCCCTTAGCACACGGGTGCCCAGGAGTCACACGTGAAACCAGCATATCCACATATATCCAACAATTAGGTCAGCTAGGCCAAGCTCACTTAAGGGTCTCCCCACAAACACATCCTCGGGTCCTCTTCCCAAACAAAACTGACTACTTGAGTCTCAATCTCCTCACCTGTCAAACGGGTATAACAATACTTATACTATGAGAGACCGCCTGTGTTATACACTGGACAAGCCTTCATAAAGGAGGGATAGGAACCATTATACTGTGGGAGGCTAGTGATGTGATCCTGGAAATGCTGACTGACTTCCGAGCCTCATCTATCTGCTTTATGTGTTGTGTTTGCATGTAGACACACATACATGTGCCTACATACATACATGTGTCTATATATATACATTCACACACACATTTCTCACAGAATCTCTCTGAGCCTCTGCTTTCTCTTCTGTAGAATGGAGATTATAATACTTGTACTAACAGAGGAAACCTGGCACAGGACTCCAGGGTCAGAAAAACAGGGGTTCAATCCAGTTTCTGCCAGTTTCTGGCCATGTGACCCTGAGCAAGGTTCTTCATCCCTTGGTACCCCCCCCCAAGTCTCTAAGATGAGTTACAGGACTGCACACCCACAGGATTGGTACAGGGACTTTCCATACCAGGAAGCCCCCTTCGCTGTGACCCCCAAATATGTTACCCACTACACAGGAATGATTGCCAGAGAGCGTTTTTGCCAGTCTTCCAGAGTGATTATTCTCAGAGTCACTGGCTTTCTTCTGAAGCCAGTCAATGAATCTAAGAGTTAGGAGTCGTGTGTGTGTGTGTGTGTGTGTGTGTGTGTGTGTGTGTGTGTGTAACAAGACAACGTTGTTCTGAAGGTAGGGAGGCCTGGGTTCGAGTCCTGACACTCTTATGACCCTGCTGTGTGGCCCAGCAAGTCCCTTTCCTTCTCTGGGTTTTGGTTTCCTTCTTTGCTAAATGAAGGGGGCTGGGAAGCAGGGGTTAGAGCAACCCCAAACTCAGAGAGAGTGGACCTGGGTTCAAATACCATCTTGACCTGTTGCTCCCTAGGTGGCCTTGGGCCAATCCCTCCACCTGGCCTCAGTTTCCTTATGTGTAAAATGAGGGTGTTAGATGCGGTGGCTTCTGAGGTCCCTTCCAGCCCTAATTCTACAATCCTGAGGCTTTCCTAAGCCTCAGTTTCCTCATCTGTAGAATGAAGGGGCTGGACATGCCCACCTTGATGGTCCTTCCTCCCTGCTCTGACAGCAAAGGCAGGGCAATGAGGGCTAAGGAGAGCCTCGGGCTGACAGCCTCCATGGCCACCAAAGGTGGTACCCTTGTTATTTCTGCCGCTAGCTCCTCCGCCTCATTACCTGTTCATGCCAGGGACTACAGCAGGGGCGAGCACACGTACCCCTTCTCATTGGGCACGTGAGCAGGACGGGGGAAGGACCCCAGCCAGCCCACGTTTCTTGTTTCTTTGGTTCCCGTGACAGGGGGATGAGATCAATCATTGTGAGCTTACTTCTGAACCAGCAGTAAGGAAGGCCAGGCTTCTGCTGGCCACTATTGCCCGCTGCCACCAGAGGCCTCTGCCGGCCCCTCCTGCCATCCAGGCAGCCCAGTGAGCACACTGTGACTGGCCACAGGGGCTTCAGAGCCCTGGCAGGCGGGCAGGGGGAAGTCTAGGGCCAGGATTCAGGGCATCTGATTCCAAGAGACCCCCACCCAGGAATCACTGTGCTTCAATATCCTCCGGCCAGCCCTCACAGAGATCCCCATTGACCTGGGAATGAAGACCACCTAGCCCTCGCAGGGACCCCCACGCTGATTTGGGAACGAAGACCACCTAGCCCTCGCAGGGACCCCCACGCTGATTTGGGACCAAGGACTGCCCAGCCTTCTCAAGGACCTCCATGCTGACCTGGGAACTCTCCAAGACCAGCCTGTCCTCAAGTCAACAGGCCAAGAGGCTCAGTTTCTAGGGGCAGGCCAGCTTGGCAGAATCCTCACTCTGCCATCTGTAACCTCGGATGCCTTGGGCAAGTCACTGAACCTCTGTGAGCCACAGTCTCCTTATCTGAAACATGAGGTGGCTGGGACTTTGAGGGCCCGTGTGATGCCCACACCCTCCCACGCTCATGTTCTGACATGCCACGACCACGGCCAACACATACGCAGCCCCACCCCGTGTCACCCTCCCACAGGCAGAGCCAACAGGCTGAGGCTTACAAGTAGGCAGAGGCCATGGCCACCTACCATCTTGTGATTCCATATCCCTGCACCTGGACTGCCCGGACAGACAGCCGGGGCCAAATCACCCCTCTGCAGCATCCCACCCATGTGACCCTGAACAAGCACCCACCTGGTCTCTCTGGGCCTCAGTTTCCCTCTCTGTAAAATGAGATGGTCTCTGGCCTCTCTCCAATCCCAGCCCTAGATGCCTTTGCTCAGTCCCTGTCTACCCCTTCCTCTCCAGCGGAGAGCTCCTAGCTCCCAGCTCCTGCATCCGTAGCAGGCTCCAGGTGAGCGCTGAAGGGGGGAGGGGAGGGATGCGGCCAGCCCAGACTGCTTTTGCCATTCGACTCGGCCAATCAATCAGCCAGTATTCATCGAGCCTTTCCCTCAAACAGCGCCCTCTGGAGGCACGAGAGGAATCGGGGCTCAGGAGAAGCTGGACGCGTGTTCCCATGTCCCCATGTTCAGATCTTCAAGCCAAGACTGTCTCATGAGCAGAGAATTTTCGATTTTTTCCATTATAATTCTCTGTGTCTGGTCCTGCAAAACTGAAAGTGGGCTTGGAGCTGGTTTCTCAGGCCTTTTGGTTTCGGTTTCTGTTCCTCCTAAGGCTGAGGGTGTGTTGGGGGGGGTAACCCCTCACCTACCTGCTGTCCCGCACGGCTCCCTCAGGTCCTGCTCGCCTGCCTCATCTTCTCGGGATTGCGTGACTCCTCTCTAGACTCTCCCTCTTTTCTCTCTGCTGTGCTGGGGGACCACCCCCCCAATTGCGTGACTCTTCTCTAGACCCTCCCTCTTTTCTCTCTGCTCTCCTAGGGGACCACTCCCCCAATTGCGTGACCTGTCTCTAGACCCTCCTTTTTTTCTCCCTGCTCTGCTGGGGGAGGCCACCCCTCAACTGCGTGACCCCTCTCTAGACCCTCCTTTTCTCTCTGATCTACTGGGGGGACACCCCTCAATTGCATGACCCCTCTCTATAGACCCTCCCTCTTTTCTCTTTGCGCTGCTGGGGCGCCTCCCTCCAGGGCAGCTATAGAATCTCCGCTGGAGCGCTGGCTTCTCTTCTGCCCAATGGAACGCAAAGAAGGGGTTTCTCTTTCTCCTCTTCCTTCTTCCTTCTCTCTTCTTTCTCCTTCTTCACCTCTGCTCCTCCTCTTCCTCCTCCTTGAGGTGTCCAGGTATGTAGTAGCAAGAACACTAGATTTGGTGTTAGGAGGTTCTGGGTTCAAATCCCGCCTTTGAGACTTATTAGCAGTGTGATAGGAGATAAGTCACATCAGCTCTCGGCACCTCTGTTTCCTCACCTGAAAAACAGGGAAAACAATAGCATGGAGTTATGTCGAGGCACAAATGAGATAGCATTTTTAAAGCTCTGCGCAAACCTAAAAGCTTGATGGAAAGGTGAACTGTCACTTTCCTTCCTTCTTCCTCCTCTTATCTGCCTCTTCTCTGAAAGAGTGTAAGCATCTTGAGGGCAGGGACTATTTCTCTTTTCTCTTATCTTATCGAGGCACCTAGCACCGCGCGGGACACTCTGTAGGTGCTTATCAAATGTTTGTTGATTGACTGATTCTTTCTCTAGGTTCTCTTCCTCCCACTCCTCCTTTCCCCAACCCCTGTGGTATGTACGCCCCTCCCCCACAGGTATGGCAGCTGGCCCCCCAGGCTAAGGGCTGGGGCAGCCTGGAGTTCCTCTGTGCCAGGCTGCTCTCATCGCGAACGGTCATTAGGACTGCCAGCGTCCTCCCCTCGGCTCTGTTCCGAATGAATTAGCAGCCACCGCCAGGGGAATTAGGCTGCAAGGCCTGTGTGCAGCCCTTAGCATCGGCCTGTGATTTATTTCACATGGCATCGCCAGAGGCCGGGGCCAGGGCTGGAATTCCCGCACCCAGCACCCTCTGGCTGGCCGGGTGGGGGAGGCAGGCAGACAGACACAATCCTTCGCCTATCCCCCCATCAGCCTAGTTGTTTATGCCTAGCCCGGTCTATCCATCCATCTGTCCGTCCATCCATCCATCCATCCATCATCCATCGTACTCCTCCCTCTGTCTCTCTCTTTCTCCTTCCCTTCCTCTCTCCCTCCCTCCCTTCTCTGCTTCTCTTTCTCTTTTCTCTGTCTCTCTTTGTGTGCTGCTTTCTCTCTGCCTCGGTCTTCATCTGCCCTGGCCTTTGTTCCACTATGAGCCCTCCCATGAGCACAAACAATCACATCACAGAGATCGCTACTCTGACCTCTCTCTCCAGCCACCTGGTCCCAAAGCCCTTGAGATCTACATACTAGGTCTTAGTGGAAAGAAGTTGCTGGAATATTCATTCCCTCTGGAATTCTGCTCCTGCCCTATTCTGTACCTTTAGGATCTGAGCCTGATTTTCTGATTCCAGCATGGATGAGACGGGCCATAGCTCTAGGCTTGGAAGGGACCTCAGAGGTCCATCCAGGTTAACCCCCTCATTTTACAGACAAGGAAACTGAGGCCTGACTTAGAATGATAGGCTCCTGGGACCTCAGAAGCCTCAGGAAGTTAAGGAAAGCTGCCTTATCCAGAGCCATACGCCCTCCAAAATTGATTTGGTTGCTCACGTCATAGCCCTGGCACCCCTGGGGTGCTTCCCTCCCCCTTTCACGGATCTTCTCTTCTGAGTGCTGTACAACATCTTCTACCCTGGAATTCTTTGCCTTTGCGCCCTATGACCTCACCTCGCCAAATCCCAGCTCTGAGTTAGTTAGCCCCACTGTCTTTCGACCTTCCTTGCTCCTTCTCCTACACTGCTGAACCCAGCCTGTGTCCACTACAGACAGAACGATGGGAGATCACCTCAGTTGGGCCCTCACTGCTGCACGGCAAGCCTTTTATTCTGCCCTAACTGAATCTCTGTCTCCCTCCTCCAAGCAGCTATTTCAAATGTTCTCTTCTTTCCTCAAGTCTTCATAGCCCTCCTTGCCCCCTTCCCTTCTCAGCAGAGAACCTTGTCTAATACTTTACTGAGGAAACAGGAGCCATTAGCACGACCTTTCACTTCTCCCTTTCTTGAAATCTCCAAACCTGCTGTCTTCAGCCATTTCCTCCTCTTTTGCTTTCGTTTCTGAGAAAAAGATGTCATTTTTTCTGACCTGGAATCGGGGAGACCTGAGTTCAAATTCAGCCTCAGATATTTACTAGCTGTGTGCCCCTGGGCAAGTCACTTAACTTCTGGAGAAGGAAATGGCAAAGCACTCCAGTATCTTTGCCCAGCAAACCCCATTGAGCGGTATGGTCCATGGGGTGATGGAGAGTCACATATGACTGAACAACAAATCCCCAGAGCAAGACTGTTGGCCTGTTATAGTAGATAGAAAGCTGGCCTTGGCCCACCAGAAGTCCCCACCCATCCTGACTATTCGACCCTAGGCAGGCTTCTTAACCTGAATTGATGGGGGGAATTTCCCATCCCGGGAGTTTCAAACTGATAAAATGATAGGTCCAGTCTGTATCCCTAGTGTCCAGCACAGTAGCTGGCCCATAAATGATCAGAATTTAATTGAAAGGCAGCAGTTTGCACCTTTCCTGAGGAACCCCGGGCAGATGGCTACCTGTCCAGTGAAACAGGCCACGGGCCTACCCAGCTCTCTGGCCCCGGAGAGGTTGAGCCCTGGAGCAGCTTGAGATGAGAAAGGATTGGCCTTCAGACAGACAGCTCGGGCCTCGGTGGAGCGGGCCTGGCCCCTTCATCTCCTCTGCAATTGGTTACAAGGGCTGCTCACAGGCCCTGCCTTCCACAGCTGTTCAGAGAGGACTCCAGGCTGGTAGGGGGAGGAGGTAGAAGCAGGGCCAGGAGGGAGATGCCGAAGTGCTTTGGGGGGTGGGGAGACCCAAATGTGATCCAGTGACTGGAAGCTTTTATGAGCTGCTCTGCAGGCCTTCCATTCATTTGCTGCCATGGAGACCATGAGGCCATTCACTGGGTTAGGGTGGGGAGGGGTCAGAGGATCTCAGGGGAGGATCTCAAAGTCTGGAGAGACCTCAGACTCTGTTTGAGGAGGAACCACCCTACAGCATCTTTGACACATGGCTGGCCACCTCTGCTTAAAGCCCTCCAGCGATGGGAAAGTTATCATCCCCCCTTTCCACTCTTGGATGACTCTCATTGGTGGGATACACATCCTGACATTTAGCCTAAATCCGCCTCTCTGCCACCTGTTATTCCTAATGCTGCCTTCCAGAGCCAAGCTCCCGGGGAGCCCTGAAAATGCTTGAAGACCCTTAGGATGTCTCCCCTATATCCTTCCTTGACAGGCCCTACTTCATCCAGCCTCAGATGGAGGATCCCTGGGGCCCCTATCCCGGAGCTCCTTGGGACTCCCAGCAGTAGGTCCACCAATGACCTTCCAAGAATGTGGCCCCCACAGCTAAAGGCCCTCTTCATTCAAAGAATGGCCAGACCAGGGCAGAAGACAGTAAGATGATAACCTCCCTAGTCCTGGACACTGGGCCTCACTTCCAGCAGGCTGGGGTCAGGGGAGCGTGCAGGCCACTCAGAATCCCAGATCATTTTCACATGAACTGCAGTCTAGCCATGACTCCGCCATCTTGATTTTTTTTTAGTCCCAGGTGTAAGACTTGACATTTGCCTCTTAAATTCCTTCTCATTAGATGTAGCCGATATTTCCAGCTCGTGGAGGGAGATCCTTTCGGGTTGTGTTGTCCAACATGCTACCAATCCTTCCTGGCCTTCCTGAACCCCTTTCAATGCTAATGCCCTCCCTCTGCTGAACATCTCCAAGTTGTCCTGGTTGTATCTGGTTTGTACACAGTCACGTCCATGTGGTCTCCCCTGTTAGACCATAATAAGCTCCTTGAAGGCAGGGACTTTGACCTTTCTTGAGCTCTTCAGTGCTTGGAACAGTGTCTGGCACGTGATGGTGCTTGTGGACTGATGGAGTGACTGGCCTTGTGTCATTTGCCAATTTCACAAGTCTTTGATAAAACTAGATAACAACAGTCCATAGAGAGATCCTTTAGTCACGCCACTAGTGACCTCCCTACAAGACACTGACCCATTCAAGACCACTCTTTGGGTCACATCATTCAACCTGTACTGAATACACCTAAACGTATGATCATGCCAACATGCTAGGGCCTCTCTCTAGGGTCCAGAGAGGCTCTTAACCCGGGGTCTGTGATCTTGTGATTTTTGTATATTTGGATAGCTGGATCTCAATATGATTAGCTTCCTTTGTAGCCTTCTTTATTCTATTTTGTGCAGCAAAATCATAGTTCTAAGAAGAGCTCCATAGGCTTCCCCAGACTACCCAAGGGGTCCTGGACATCTTGGTGCTAGATGCTTTGACATTACCTCCCACTGGAGACCTTAAGTTATTCCTCATGCTCGCTACGTGACTGGCCCACATCCTCTTCCATTACGTTGCTCTCTGGTAATATCCTTTCTGGCCCCAGTCTTGTTTGGGAACTGGAAGCCTACTCGCACCCACTACACATTCCTCTCTTGCCTGTGGGAGGATCCCATATAGCTTTCATTCCTTGGAGTTCAGGGCATCCCATCACTTGTAGGCATATTGCATTGCTGGAAGAATATTGATGTGAAAAACGTGGCCTTCGTTTCAGGGAGAAGGTTGGGGCTATTAAGGGTACTAAACAATGCCCCAAAGGCAATCCGGCCCACCCTCCTCCTCCTGTTCAATTCTGGACCCAGCTCATCATTCATCAGAAACGTCTGTCCAAGACTGGCGCAACAGGTGTATGAGTCAGCCAACATCATCTGACCAATAGGCATTTCCCATCCACTTGTGTTGTTCCTGTGACCTTGTTGCTCAGTGGTTTTTCACTTGTGTCTGACTCTTTAGCACCCCATTTGGGATTTTCTTGGTAGAGACATTGGAGAGGTTTGCCACTTCCTTCTCCAACTCATTTACAGATGAGGAAACTGAGGCAGACTGGTTGAAGTGACTTGCCCAGGGTCACATAGCTAGTAGGTATCTGCAGCTGGATTGGAACTCACCAGGATGAGTCTTCCTGATTCCAAGCCCAGTGCTTTATCCATTTCGCCACCGCTTTTGAATTCAGAGCTTACTTCAGAAGCTACGCAGCGTTCAGAACATGATACAATTAGCAGAATATTATCCACAAACAGGAAGTCTTGAAGGATCCTCCTCACTTCTTCTGTTTGGACCAGGTGCTAGGCATCCGCCATGACAACGGCCCATGCCTTCGGTGAGCATCTGTCTGTGTTTTAGGCCTCACTTGACGCTTATATCAAAGACTCATCCAACAAAGTTATCCCTATGGTTACAGCCCTCAGTGTTTTAACAAATCCCTGGCAGACACCTTACTGGAGACAAGTCCTTACACCAGCCTCCCTCTAGATCAAGTAAAATGCTTTTTCATAGTCCACAAACAATAGTACCATAGATCCCGTCTTCCCCCCTCTCCTCCCCCTCGGTGGACACACAGCTGAGGGGCAACCAACAGGGAGCAGACCCAGGTAGGGAGATCAGCATTTGGGACAGGAGGCAGCTCCTGCTAGTGTGACCTGTAGCAACAGTGAAGAGAGCCAACTGTGGATCTAAGAGAGAACTAGTCCTAGCAAGTGAAAGTCAAGGGGCAGAAAGGCAAAGACCCAAAGATCCCAGCTGGGCAACTCACCCAACAGAGACTCTGTGCATGGTAGGCAGCAATATGAAGAAACAAAAAGAGAAGGAGCATTGGAGTGCTGCAGTACTGGAAGTGTGAGCTATCTTGGCTACATGAGGTCCCTATTTATTATTACCAGTGGACTCTAAGTTTGTCTGCTCTGCCCATTGACCCTATATATTTATGGGACAGGGTATCTCAGGTTCACGAGGAAAGGGATGTATGGTAGGTGCTGTTTTTACTGTGCCGTTGTAGTAAATGCCCTTACTTTGAGCTAATTGCATCTACTGGCTGACTATTAAAGGTAAGCTCATTGGTAGGGGCTCGTGGATTATAGTTTTAGGAGACTGGATCCACACAATACCCTAGAACAGTGAGTGTTAGTTACTTCCCTAGTGGCACACTGAACACCGCTTCCTTCACAGCACAAATTTCACCAAGTTGAAGCCTAGCACAGTTTAGAAATTGTGGTGGTTTCAGACCAACTTCTTGGAATGTCTCCCTATTGCCCAGAGAGGATCTAAATCCCAATAGCCTGGCATTCAAGGCCCTCTACAAGTTGGTTTTGACTTCTTCTTTTGGCCTTATCTTACAGTCTGTCCCTTCACAGACTCTATGCTTTGGTCAAACTCAGTTACTCACTCCTCCCTGAACAGAGCCCATGCTTTCCCGTTCTCATGCCTGCGCCTAGAATACCACCCCTCACCCCTCTCTACTTGAAATCCTACTCATCCTTAGGAGCCCAGATAAAATGCCACCTCATCCATGAAGACTTCCCTGATTTCAACCTGCCCGCATCCAAAGCCCTGGGCTAGCTCTCCTTCACGGAGATTTTCATTGTATCTGGCTGTGTGAGCATGGGGCAAGGCCTTGACCTCTCTGGGCCTCCATCTGCTCATCTATAAAATGGGAGAGTTGGATTGCATGACCACCAAGATCTCTGCCAACTCTTGATCTCTGATCCTATACTCTTATTCACATTTCATCTGGAGAGCTTCAGGCCTGTTGAAATCTTTCTGGATCTTGCTTCTGTCATCTGGCATATTGGCCATTCCTCCCACTTTTCTCTCATTCACAAATTTGTTGAGCCATCTTCTTCCAAGCCATTGGCAGTGGGAAACATTGAGCAGAACAGGGCAGATGGCAGGCTATCCAGGGACCTTCCAGAACAGCTAGCCCAGCTCCCTTGGTCTAGAAACAGGAGAGAGGGGCCTGGCCAGGTGACTCGGTCCTATGTTAGTAAGCAGCGCAGCCGGGTCCTCTGGTACCAAATCCACAGTGGAACGGCCTTAACTCTCCTTCAGGCATCGGACTGCTGGGAGAAAATGGAAACAATGAAAGGCGAGAGAGGGCTGATGAAAACCTTCCGTGACTGCGGACACAGGGAGCTTCTGTGATGGAGCGGAAGGCTGTGGACGCAGAGAGTCCTGAAATGGTGGCCATGTGGGTCCCTGAGGACCGAGTTTTCCTTTTGAGCTTGAGAAGGGCGCACAAGTCTTGTCGTTGTTACTCTTCAGTGGTTTCAGGCATGTCCAACTCTCCATGACCCTATTTGGGGTTTTCTTGGCAAAGATACTGGAGTGGTTGCCATTTCCTTCTTCAGCTCATTTTACAGATGAAGAAACTGAAGTAAACAGGGTGAAGTGACTTGCCCAGGGTCACACAGCTAGTAAGTGCCTGAGGCCAGATTTGAACTCAGAAAGAGGAGTCTTCCTAGCTGCCCTGGGGCACAGGAGTAGATGGGGCCAAATCATCTAGTGGAAAGGATTTGGACTTGGGGACCTGGGTTCAAATCCAGGTAAGTAAGGTGGAGCAGTGGATAGAGGGGCAACCCTAGAGTCAGGTGGCCCTGAGTTCAAATGTGATCTCAGACACTTCCTAGCTGTATATCCCTGGGCAAGTCACTTCACCCTGTGTGCCTCAGTTTCTTCATCTATAAAATGATCTGAGAAGGAAATGGCCAACCACTCCAGTATCTCTGCCAAGGAAACCCAAATGGGGTCACGGAGAGTCGGACAGGACTGAAACAATAACGATGAAGTTTGAACCCGAGCTTTCTTTTCTGGGGCTGGTGTGACCACATCCCCTGGGGATTCAGCTTTCTCCTCTGCCAAATGAGGAGGTCAGACTCCATGACCTCCCAAGGTCCCAGGCAGTTCTGATTTCCAGGGGAAATCTCTCGGTTTCCTTTCCTCATTGTCCCCCTACAGCGATCAATAAGCAGTTATTATGTGCCAAGCACTGTGCTCATCTCTGGGAATTCACTGAGGCAGTCCATGCCTGCAGGAAGCTTACATTCTATCAAGGGAAATGAAATGGCATGCATATTAACAAGCAGATATAGTATAGAGAGGAAATACACCAAGACTGCCTGGGACGTGCGACAGCATCAGAGCCATAACTAGGGGTTTCCAAGCCGTGGGCAAGGCTCACAAGCTGCACCCAGGGCAGATGGCTCGCAGCCTGCCCCGGGCTGAGAGACGGAGCTGGTGCCCCTGACACAGGCTGCTGCTGGAGGGGGGCGTCCGTGTTGGGGAGGTCAAGGGGGAGGAGTACCAACCCATCCCACAGTCCAGGGGCTCTCTGTCTGTCTGAACGACTCTTCCCAGTGAGGTACAGACTGCTGTTGTTTCTACCCTGCTGAAGAGTAGTGCCCGGCCAGTGGCCTCCAAATTTGGCACCCTGGGTCGAAGCCCCAGTGCCCACTCCTCTTCACTCCTCTGGCTGCTGGCCCCAAGGGAGAAGGCTCAGGGGCAAGACAAACCTCCTTCCCCTCCCCTCCTACCACCCAGTCTGCTCGCCCTTCAGGCTTCCAGATCAGACGTGTCACCTTGTCCTGCCTGCTGTCTCAGCTCAAGTACAGCCAGAAGAAACAAAATCTGTCACAGGCTTTCAACCGTGCTTTCTAAACACTGTTCTGCAGCCGACCCCAAGCTTCCCCCGGTTCCCCAGGCAGAACATTCTCTGCCTGGCCTTTCAAGGTCCCAGTGTTCCAGGAAAAAAAAAAAAAAGATCTCTAGAGGCCAAGCCAAGTTTTTACCTCCTTTGGCCTGAAGCAAGGGCTGGAGGGGCTCACTGAAGAGGCAGCAGAAAGCGCCTGAGGGCCTGCACAGAGAACAGAATTTTGAGCCAGAGGACACAGGTTCAAATCCTGACTGCCACTCAACCTTATGAAAGTCTCTTCTTGTTTCTGGGCCCCAATTCTCCCATTTAGAAGATGACCCCAAAGGCCCTTCTGTTTTGGATCTAGGCACCTATGTGCTCTCTGAACCTCAGTTTCCTCATTTGTAAAGGAGGGGCTGGAGTAGAATCTTCCCAAAATCCTTTTCAGCTCTGAGCTAGTGACAGCTCGGCATCACAAAGACCAAGGAAGTCCTGGGGAGGGGGAGCCTTCAGTCGGGAGAAGAAGGGGAGGAGTGGGGCTGAAAGGCATTGAAATCTCCAAGAATCCTCTTTGATTAACAAAGGAGAACTCTGGGGCTCAGCGGGGTGGTGGGGGCCTTTCTCCCTTTCCCAGAGAACCCTGACTCAGAGCTGGTGACTTCCTCTCTCGCACCCCCTAGCTAGGGCCCTGGTCTGGCGCTGGCCCTGCCCACTGGCCTGGCTGGTCTTCTTAGGAGAGCGGGGGCTGTCTCCAGGCGCAGGGCTGGGTGGGGGTGGACCTAATTACTCATAACTGGAGTGGCCTGATGGGGCTGGCGCCTGGGTAGAAACACACACACACACACACATACACACACACCTGGCAACCAGGGCTGGGCATACACTCACACATCCATGACAACTAGAGCCCTCTGTCCACACACTGGGAAATTGCATGCAGTCACACATGTGCGTGCATGCATGCACACACACACACACACACACACACACACCCATAAATGGTAACAAGAGCATAGCCAAGCACAGACCGGAATTGGAGCCGGGCAAACAGAATCAGATCGATGTGCAGCCATGCTCATACAGACACACAGGCACACACACTCCAATGGGCGGGCGGCAAATCTTGGATTGTGGATGATCGGGAAAAGCAGCAGACCAAGGTGGGGGGGGGGACGTACATGTAGAAGGGTGGCATAAGTAACGTGGACAGCCCCCAGGGTCAGAGAGGCAGTGCTGGAAGGGACCCTGGGGAGGGGGAAAGAAAGAATAGCCCCTCTTTTTGGAGAGGCTTAGCCCACAGGCTGTCCTGACTCCAAAGCTTTGGGCCACTGAGGCAGAGGTACCTCAAGTAATGAGGGGTGGACTAGAAGGCCTTCCATCTCTCAATCACTGATTCTTTCATCTAGGGCAATTCTCTTCTGGGCCTCAGTTTCCCGATTGATAAAATGAGGGGGTTGGGAACAGACGGCCTTGGAAGTCCCTTCCAGCCCTAAATCCATGTCCCTACAACCTGTCTGAGCCTTAGTTTCCACATCGGTAGATAATAACTCTTGTAAGAGTACCTACCTGCTAGGGTAGACATGAGGTCTGAAGGAGACAATGAATCTAAAAGGCTGCACAGACTTTAGATAGCTCTAGAATTATCTGTTCTTCTTATTAATTAATAAGGGGCCATCAGCTATTATTACAGAGAAGGAAACTGAGGTCCTGGGAGTTGAGATGATTTGAATCCAGATCCTCCATTTCCAAGTCCAGAGCACCTTCCTTTGATCAGCCCTGCCTAGGTCTGGAGCCAAGGACCTGGGTTTGAATCATGACTCCCTCATTTCCAGAGGCTCAGGGGTGGTCTGATCTAGCCGACCCCCCTTGTTTTTACCCAGGGGCTAACTAGAGGAACAGAGGAGGAAGTGGCTTGCTCTACCCCTAAGGGTGCTAAATAGCAGTCAGAATTTGCACTCAGATCCGATGCGCCACCCAGCACCTGTACAATTCTGGGTCAATTGATTCTGCTTCCAGGGCCCTGTTTCCTCTTAATGGGTATGCCTTCTTCATTCCGGAGGGTTCTTCGGGGGAGTTGCAGCAGATTGTCTTTGGATCCCCCCTGGCACCCAGCACTGAACTTTCGATCTTAATTTAGTGCCAGTAAACCATGTCTCATCCTTCCATCGAAGAAGGAAGCCAGCAGACCTTCCATGGACAGAATCAATACAAGTTCTGAATACATGCTTTACTTTTTTTTCCCTATGGTAGATAGATGTTGTTATGACGAATAAAATATACATTTACTTGCTGAATTTATGATACAGTTTAATGACATGTATGGCATTATATATTTTCTCAGTCAAGGGATCCGAATCCAATTTAACAAGCACTTATTAAGCACCTACTGTTTGCCTGGTGTTTGCTAGGGGCTGGGGATAGAGAGGAAAAAAAATAAAAATGTTTCTGCCCTCAGGGAGTTTTTGTTCTTTAGTGGGGGGAGGGGAAAGGAAGGGCCACAGGTGCACATTTAAGTAAACACAAAGTCCTCTCCGGAAGGTGGGGTGTGGGCCCCTCCGCTGCTGGAGGAGGCGGTGCTTGAGAGTGTAGCCAGGAATTCTAGGAGGTGGGGGTGAGGAGGGAGAGCCATGCAGAGACAGGTGGGCAAAGAGTTAAACAATCAAGCGCTTTTTAATCACCTGCTGAGGCCCACGCCCTACGCTAGGCCCCGGGGATACAAAGAAATGTCTTTTATGGGGAACTGCCATCCGCCAGTTTAAGTGGAGAAGACTGGGTGTAAGGAGCACCGTGGCTTTCTTCCTGGGCCAGGGATCCTGCCTCCCTCCTGCCTGAGGCTCTGAGCCCCCACACCGTGAGAGACTCCCAGACACCCGGCTGAAGGGCAGTCACCTGGGAGCCAGAGCTTGGAAGGCATTGATTGCCAGGGTGAGGAGTTTGCGTTTCACCCGGGCATCGAAGACTACTGAGTTAGGGGAACGATGAGGTCAGATCTGTTGAGAAGGGAGCTGCTGCACCGGACCGGAAAAGAGCCCTGAATCTAGAGTCAGGGGACGTGGGTTTGAATGCTGCCTCTGCCATTTACATCTGTGTCACCTTGGACAAGCTGTTTCCCCGACTTGGGCCTCGGAGGGCCCCTGAGGGCCCTTCCAGCTCGAAGCTCTGGTCTGCGATCATCAGCTGGTCAGTGGGGAGGGGGCACTCGAGAGAGGGGAGACATTGCCTAAGGACGCCAGGAGACAGGATTGCACAGTAGTCTGCGGTGCCTGGGCTGGGCTAGATTCGTTCTGAAGGAAAGCCGGACAGAAGGACAGGAAAGCCAGACTGACAGACGAGCCTGTTGACACGGCGCAGTCAGGTTAGGAGCCCACGGAGCCTACGTCCAAAGGGCCCCTCTAGCTACCTCCCAAGGCAGCCTTTCCCGCTTCTGAATCGACTATCACTGTAAAGGGACGGGACCACTCAGCCGGATGGACGGTCACTAACCTCTCTTCCTGCTCTTAATCCCGTGGACTAGAATTGAACCAGAGGGACAGCTCCAAAGGCAAACAGCAGGTGCTTAATAAGTGTTTGTGGAATAGGCTTGGTTGAAGATCGGTTGTGCTCATATACTATATATAGTTCACTCACTGGCCCTGCTCAAGCGGTGGATGCCTCCTCACTTTCAAATTCAGGTTCCCCAGATCCTTGTATTATTAGTCTGGGGGAGATGGGGGATGGATCCTCGATCTAGAGTTGGGAGGGGCCTCCAAGGCCATCTAGTCCACCTCCTCTCTCATTTGACAGAAGGGGAAACTAAGGCCCAGGGAGATTTGCCCAAGGTCACACAGCTAGTAAGTCCTGGCCTCCAGACCCGGTGCTTTTCCATACTGCCTCCTACACGAGAGCGCGCAGATGAGTCTCTCACGGTGTTGGGGCTCAGAGCCCCAGGCAGGTGCGAGGCAGGACGGGGTTTGACCTCCTTGTGGCAGGATCTTTGGCCCCGGAAAGAAGCCGTGGAGAGGAGGGGCCAGGTTCTTTTTACCCCCAGGAGCAAGAAGAGACTGCGCTGTCTGCAGTGCCCCGTGCCGAGCCAGGACTAGCAGGAGGCGCCGTGTCACAAGGGAAAGAATGTGTGGAGCCCAAGGTTCGCAGATGGAATCCCCGACCGTTCACTTGCAACCTGTGCAGTTTCAGGGAACTGCTTTCTCCTCTCTGGGCTTTGGTTTCCTCTTCTGTAAAATGAAGGGGCGGGACCACAGTGTCTCCAATTGGACCAATGGGGAGTGATTGGCAGGGGAAGGTCCCTCCCCTTCCCACTTCCCCTCCCCTCCCCTCCGATATTGAAAACAGGCATCAGAACCACCGTGGCTTCCTCCGGCCTCTCATCATCCCCATGGCTACCCAGACCAAAACACCGTATCCCCACCGTATCCCTGACCACCGCTGCCCTAAATATTTTGTCTCCTCCCAACATATTGTGAACGGGATGTTATCTTTCCCCCCCCCATTAGAGTGGAAGCTTCTTGAGGGCAGGGACTGTTTGGCCTTTGTACTTGTATCCCCAGAGTTTTCGACCTGCCCGACATCCAGTAACTGCTTAATAAATGCCTTTGTTAATGGGCCAGAGAGTGAGTCATTCATTGATTCATTCCAGTTCGAGGCAGAGGCAGGGTGGTGTTGGGGGAAGATCAGCATGGAGCTGGAGGACCAGAAATGAATCCGAGCCCTGTTCTGGCCAGGTGGCCTTGGCTTCCTCCTCTCTATGACCTCTATGTCCTTCCAGCTTAAGTCTGTGCTCACATGGAACTTATCATGACAGAGTGGCTGGGAGGCCTTGAGGTCAGCATTGCTTGGGTTTGCATCCAGACGCTGGCACTTAGTATCTCTATGACTTTGAACAAGTCACAACCTCCTGGGCCCAAGTTTTCTTTTTCATGAACGGAGTGGGGTTGGCCAGCCTGTGAGGGGCCTTATTGCTCAAAATCTATGATCTTAAATAAGCAGAGTTGATATTTCGTGAGTTCTTTTACCCCTCTAGCTGCTAGTAACTCCATCATCCTGCGACCATTATCTACACATTTATCTATACATACATAAGACAGCTTGTTTGCTGGGCAAAGATACTGGAGTGGTTTGCCCTTTCCTTCTCCAGCTCATTTGACAGATGAGGAAACTGAGGCAAACAAGGTTAAGTGACTTGCCCAGGGTCACACAGCTAGGAAGAGTCTGAGGCTGGATTTGAGCTCAGGGAGAGGAGTCTTCCTGACTACAAGTCTAGCATTCTATCCACTGCACCACCCAGCTCCCCATATAGACAGCACATATGGACAAAATCAATGAGGTAATATACACATACACACATGCATACATGTATGTGCCCTTATGTTTCCCCTGGTAAAATGTAAACTCCTTAAGGGGCAGAGCTATTTAATTTTTGTCTGGGTCCAGTGCCCAAGTAGGTGCTCAGTAATTGCTTCTTGCTTAGGCAAAGAGGGCTTTCCCCATCTAGATGAGGCATTAGGGTCTCTCTGAGGCTCAGAGAGGTTGTGACTTGTCTGTGGTCACACAGCTAGTAAGGGTGAGGTCTGGGTGTGAATCCAAGGCTTGGCTGTCCTCTTTCCCCTATCCCAGCTGTAGCCACCTAACTTGGGATTCAGAACTACAGGAGCAGAGATTTCAGCTTCTCTCCCCTTTTTATTCTCCTCCCCCCAGACCCTGCAACGGTCCCCCAGCATCCTTCTCATGCCTCTGGGAAATACTCTGAATGTTCCTTCTGTCCATTTCCTCCTCAGAAACAGACAGATGTGCAGCGTCTGGAACACAGTGGGGACCTTTGTCACATGACTATTCCTTCAGTCCTTCAGCAGGATCTGCCCAATCAGATTACTGATTGGTCTGTACCTCCCAGGGCTTATTCTAATGCCTGGCACACAGGAGGTGATGAATAAATGTTCACTGAGCAGCTGATTGACACCGGAGTGTATCTGTATCCTCTTGAGAGACTTTCAGGCTTGTGGAGGACAGGCTAATTCACTTCTGGCTTGTTATTACTAGTGCCTTGAAACATTGCTGGCACTTAATAACTGCTTGTTGAATCAGACTGACCTGCTATCAAACAAATACTCTCTAAGTGGTTACTCTGAGCCAGGCACTGGGCTGAGGAAATGAAACACCCCCTTGCCCTCAAGCAGCTTATGTTCTGTGGGGGACAGAGCATATACCTAGAAATACATTTTTTAAAAATACAAGCTATTTGTGGAGGGAAGGCATGGGGCACTAACTGCTAACCCTGCATATACTTTTTTAGGCTGTGAGCTCTCTGAGAGGAGGCAGGTACTGGGGAGCCTCCCGTCTCTATCACCCACCTACCTGCCTCCATCGTGTTGGCATCCCAAAGTTGCCATTAGCCATGAGTGGCCTATTTCCCTACCGGTCTGCCTGGGGTTCCTAATCCCTACTCCACTATTGGTCACTATTCCAATAACTATATTCCAATAGAAATGTATTCCACCTTATGCATTTAAAAACATGCCCGTGAGCAGGCTCCTGGGCTCCCCCAGAATGACTGTCAGAGGAGACCTTGACAACCCACAAAAGGGGAAGACCCTCTCATGCCCAGCCGGGAATAAAGAAGTCTAAGTTGTACAGTGGATGGGTGAGGAGGCATAGGGCATAGAGGGCAGCCTTAAATCCACTTGAAAATGAAAATGGAGCTGGGTTAAGTGACTTGGGAACCAGCCTGGACCTGAGGAGGCTCTTCCAACCCCACCCCCTTCAGGGCTGACCCTGGCAGCTTGCCCACCCCATCCAGTTTTCCCCTCCCCTTCCCCATGCCACTCCAGTCATCTCCCCCCTACTCGTGACCAGGAAGGTTGATACAGTGGGTAGGTCTCAGCTTTGGGCTGGCCATTTCCTGCCCGTGTGACCTGGGAAAATGTTTGACTTCTCTGGCCTTCAGAAACTTCATCCAGGAAAAGTAAGGTTTGATTAGATGAAAGTCTTTGAGGTCCCTTCTAAGACACTTAAGTGAAGTATGCTTTAAA